TATGGCGCCCGAGTTGCGAGTGATCGAAAATAGGTTTGTTGAATAGATTTGCTGCCCATAAAAACGTTTCAACAAGTTTGGTTGAATCTACATGTACTTACTCTTGAGTGGTATTACGTTAGTATAATCTTGTTAATTATTAAGAAAAAACAAAGATGCCCGATATTGAGCGATATCAATTTGAGTATTGTTAGGGCTGTTTAGCGATCTTTCACATTTTGTCCTTTGAAAATGTACGATGTCAATTACCCCGAAGTTGTTTTTATCGCTAATAAAAGAGCACGGTCATTGAAACATACATGGAGGTAATCGGGATTTCTTCAAGATATACATTCCAAACTGTCATTCGTTTTGTGACATAATCTTTGAAACAGTCTGCGTATGAATTAATCACGACCACTTCCGTCAATTTTGTTTTGACGTCAGAAACACGCACAATTTCACCGGGATTTTTTATCGGTAAATATAACTCACGGAAAATTCTCAGTGAATGTGAACTTCAACATAAATATCATATGTCTATCACTGTTAGGACATGTACTTGCCAATGATATGAATTATTGGTCATTTAGATTTCAAACAAGGGCGCTTACTTGACTTTGCTTGCCATATTCGGGTGCGTCCATATTACGATTAATGTGGAAAAGTAGGAAACTTATAATACCAGCACTTTTATCGATGGCTGGGCAGTGCATAGATCTTTTGGATTTGGTGACTTTAGATACTGTTGGAAAGACAATCAACTCGAGTTGCATGTTATACAATTTGGTTACACTGTGTGAAGAAATTAAGACGTTGCAACACTTTTGATACAATGTATACGATTTTGGAACCGCGACGTCAGCACAGTGCGGCACTGAGCGGTTTGCAGGGTAACTGACGTCCAGGCACCATGAGGGTTAAGTTTATTCCGTGGAAATGATTGGTTAATTATAACATGACATAAACAAAATATACAAGGGATCATCAGAAAGATCATCGACAGCAGAGGGGTCGGAAAAGGGGGAAAAATCAAGTTCTTTGAGGCCAACATCAGAAATTTCATTTTGTGAGCCCATTAGTGGGTCATCAGGTAGTTTAGGGAGAACAATGCGAACATCCATTTGCAATTTCGGATCTGCAACTGTTGGAACTGGGGGTTCAAGCAAAGGCGTTTGACGAGCGTTGGGAGAAAGCTCACCAGACTCACTGCCCATATACAATTTCAGTCGCCGGAGCTGGTCGCGAATATTGTGCTGTCAGGTATGCATACATGGCTTTGTCCCAATGTTGCTTCAGTAATTTGCCATTTAAACGTGGTATGTCTGGCCATCCTGTTGCTTTTGCACACTTAAGAAGTGTGGACTTGAGTTGGTACGTCCAAGATATTCTTGGATAGGTTCTACGCCAGCCCCTGGGGCAAGTCCCATCTCCAGTTCAGTTGGTTTGTATACCGGAGGGAGGCTGACTGGGCTGCGGAGTTGAACAATGTTTTTTTCTTGGCGTTCAGTAACCCAGTAGTTGACTAGCTTCGGGGGGTTAGTCCTAACTGGGTGATGTACTTTTAGTTAAGGGGAATAAAACCTCCCTCTCTAGGCCCACCTCGGGACCCAACACATATGTTGCGGATTTTGAGTCATATTAAATTTAGACATTGATTTGCCCTTGCCTTTTGACATTTCTCTTATATTCCCTCAAAATTCATTTTCAGGTCAGTAAACATTTTTTTCTTCAAAGTACGAAAGAAGCTTAACTTGGGCATGCATGTTTCAACTAAATTTTCGACCATATTTTGTTCGTATCATGATAGACCGCCTCCGTGGTCTAGTGGTAGAGCGGAAGGTCCGGGGATCGATCCCCGGCCGCGTCATACCAAAAGACATTTAAAGATGGTACTTGTTGTTACCCTGTCTGGCGCTCAGCACAAAGGGGCTAAAACAAGGACTGGTCGGCTCGGAGTCAGTACACTGTGTCTGAGTGGGGTATTCATGTTAAACTGCGGAATGGTATCTCAGTGAGCTAGCACTATAAATCGGCATTAGTCCGGACTAGTACAAGCAGCCACACACACACACACACACACACACATACACACACACACACACACGCACACACACACACACACACGTGCATGCAAGTGCAATAATCTTGAACGCGACTTTAAACCCAATTTCACCTCACCTCGTATCATGATGACTTTAGTCCTATGTTTTTGTTGATAATGATAATGTTAAAAACAATATTTCGCAGAATATTCAAATGTTTTATTTTGAAGAACAACTAGACTAAGAGAACTGACATTTTGAATTCAGTGGATGTAAGTAGATTCAATATAACATGAACGTTGTGTATCTTCTCTTATTTTCTCACAATCTATGGAAACAAATGTCAAATGTCCAGGTTATCATATGAATGTTTTTGACCATGTTTTTTTTTAATTCGGTTACCAGTCACAATGGACCAGCGCCTCCATAATGGACCGTTTCTCTGGCATAGAAGGGGCACTGCTAGTCAAAACGGACCTGTGATTATCTTCATTTCGTACAGACATATCCGAACACAGTGCGGAGCATCGTATTCACTAGTTGTTCACTCGGATGAACGTCAGTACTCTCAACAGAAATGAGCATGTCCCAAAGATCGAGGTATATAACGTGGTCATAAAGGTCAACAAATTCTTGTCTGATAATTTTGTCATATACAGGCCCCCACATTCTACCAAACGTAGTGACTACTTTATGTACAACAAAATAGTGGGGCCCCTTCATTACAATTTTTACATCAGGCGATCGTATCAGTAATCGTTCTATTGCTTGCCTAATGCGCTTCACTTGAGACCTAAATATGTGTACAGGAAAGAATTGGAAATGAGCATACAGATTAATAAGAACGATGTCTCTAGAACCAGGAGGAATCTCATCGAGATGAACAAAGGATGGTCGAATTGCAGTCCTGTTGGCATTGACAAATGTCATTGGTAGACCATGGGGGGACCAACAGACGGTATAGTTAAAACCTTTTTTGTATGCCTCGGAATAGGAATACCATTTGTGTGAAGGCAAAAGGTTCGCTGGGGTTTGCCATGGTCCAATTCTCCAAGTAAGATTTAGATGTTTGAACAAGAAAGTGTATAACTGTCTGACAGTTGAATCACCAAACATTCTAAGAGTCCTGTTGGCTAAGCAGCGATCATAGTCTTTGACGGTTATTTTATTAATACACGACAAGGGGTTCCACGTGGAGTTGTAAAAGAAACCAACAGGTTTTGATAGCCAGGTGGTCTTGAAGGTTGTCCTGGTGCAAGGGATCTGTGAAGTCATACTTGTGTTTGTTGCTGGAACAATAAATACGATAAACATGTGCGATTAAAAGTTACGAGTCCATTGTCACAAGCAAAACAGCCATACATTGTATCTATTTGTCTTCATGGCCTCCTTAATGTTTTTCTTTACATATGAGCACCAGAATATCTTCTCAAAACTAAGATCTTATTATTAGTTTATTATTAGTTTTATCCAAATCACTGACTTTTCTGGTCAATCGATCACTTGATTGTCTGTTTTTTTGTTTGCAGGCCGCAGTCGAATGACAGGAGTGCTGTTGTGCAGCTACAGACAATACATACTTACCTTCTGATGTAAATTGGGTGAATGAAAATTTTCGCGAACACCTCCTGTCGTCACTGATTTTCAGTGGTCCAATATTATTTTCACAGCCATTTTGCCCTTTACGTCAAATGTAATTTGTTTCTTAGGAAAATCAAGCCAGGTTATTCTCTTGCGTTAACGTTTTACATTCAAATGTGAATAATCTTCCAATAGCGACACAGCTTTGTAATTTATGATTATACCCAGGAATCTTCAGAAACGATGCTAAAATGTTTTGGTCATCATGACACAAATAAATCCAGATCCTGGGGGCTCCAAGAGGGCCTTTATCATACCTTATTTTTGGTTAAAACGGTTACTAGGATACAGTCATGAGTATTATGAAGGTCAATAGATAATAGTCACACTGCTAAATACACAAGATGATGATTAATGTCACCTGGTAATATCAATCAAAACTATGGCTGGTCCTTAATCTTGTGAGACTCTAAATTATGATACATAACAAAGTACAAATTAAAAACCACATGGTCAAGTATATCTAAGTACTTCGGATTTGATTACAAATAGTGATGATGCCAAGTGTTGCGAAAGTGAGTGCGTATCCTGCCCCACCGTCGGCTAGCACCATTTGTTTAACGCTGCATTTAGCAATATTCCATTTGTATCATGGCAGTCTGTTAAGAAGACAAGGGGTAAACCAGTAATTAATACGCCGTCTGGTACATAACTGCCTTGTCTATCAAGTCACAGAACCTAAACCCAAACCATTAAGTCGACTCGTTCGAAAATAATTTGTTGCTGGGGCCAATTCTAACCCGTCTCCTCGGGGTTTTGGACATACACTGCATACTAAGTGATCTTGACCTTAAATGTTATACAATTACAGCAGATAACTTGACGTGTTGCAAACATCAGTGTTCTTTGATTTTAACAAAGACCCCTGAAAAACGTCGTCTCAAAACATAAATGAAGACTGAAATGTGGTGGGTGGAATTAGCACCAAATGTAGTTACAGGTGGAACATGCATGTATACTGGGAGCTCAACATATATGTTCCTTATTTTATGAATATATAATGTTTGATCTTGTTTTGCCCAAATGTCTTTGATTCCATCTAATCTTCTGATGTTGCAAACCGAGCGAGCTAAAGGTTAGCTTGTATATGAATGTCTCGCCTTTTGATCATCAGATTTAAGTGTTAGTATATAGTCATCAATATAGTTTTTCGACCTTACTCTTAAATTTCCCCAAAAACGTGCCAGACAGAGGAAGCTTAACTTTGACATTCATGTCTCTTCGTTAGATGACATTATATTTTGTGGATATCTGTAGAACTTAGTCATCAGTATTTATGCAGAAAATGTCTACATATCAATGCTGCCTGCAGCGTTTGTAAATATGAGTTATGCATGTTATTTAGGATGCAGCCTATATACCAGAAGAAACGGTCACTGTGACATTGCCTGGAAGAATCCCTGGGCCGGCTGACCTGAAATAATAGAATATGGTTTTATACTACCAAAACATCCTGACACCATATATGCACCAACAAAAAGACAATGATATTCTGCTTTGAATTGAGATATATGTAATGGTGCTCATAATTACACATGATATATTATATAAATACTTACGAAAGATACCATTTGTTGTCAGGCCTGGCTGGTATCGGCAAGTTCCTCTGTGAAGTGATCCCAGTCCAGTCGCTGCACTGTATTTCTTTCTTCTTAGGTTTATAACAATACAATGGAACACCATAATGTTTGTCTGTTAAATTACAAACTTGTCCCATTTTCACAAATGTGTTATCCATATATCCCAATGTAGTCTCTGTTAAGTTGTATACATTAAATAAGCATTCGATTCTCTTTCCAGTATATCCATTGTTAAATTCCCTGTATACAAAAGCCATTTTTTCTCTCGAAGATAATATCGCTGCACGGATGACAGCTTGTCCGGTCCACAAGATGCGCAGAACACCAGTATATGTCCCGTTGTCATGGTCAATAACAGTTCCGGCTGAAGCAGCTCCCTTACCATTGTCTCGCATCCATACAATTAGCATATCGCCACCTCGGGTTTTTGGTCTATTCCTGTGGTCAAATAGCACAATCTTCAAACTGATTGTTTCATTTAGTGCATACACAACTTTTGGCTCTACAAGTGACATCGCTGAGGTTGTTGCAGACGCATGACTATTTGTATCATTTATTTCGGTATCGTTTATTTCTGGAATTATTTGTGTTTCTACTAAGTGAGTTTGCTTTTGGCTTCCAGTTCTTGAACGGTATGGGGGCTCTGGTAAGATTTGAAATCTGCAAGAATAAACCTTCTTTGTTGAGTAATATGCCATACAAAACAGGTAAACATGTGCTAGACATTGTGACATGATGTACATTTTGATTTCATATATGATATCCATTTATGTAACATCAAGTAATGATTCCGGGTCAGATATGGTTCCAGTAACCCATGCTTGTCATATAGGAACACATCTCGAGCTTTCTGTCTGTACTTGTAGTCAAACAGACTGACATTCACCTCTTCTGTTTTTCGATCCTTAAGCACAACACACAGTGTATCATCTATGTAAGGCATCAATAGTTGACTTTAAACAGTTATATGTACATGCAAACTATACTAAAGTATATGTTTAAATAACTCCTGTGTTCAGAAAAACATACCACCCCTTGCTTAAAAAAAACCTTGCCCATCAATTTTTGACCAATAATATGCTTCTTTATTTCAAGTTGAGACCACGTATGCTTTTTACAAGCATCTCATACACAGAGGATATTATATGAGTGTTCATGTCACACTATGGTTACGACATGAACAAGTATATAATGTTCTATTATTACCGAAGAAGATGTCTCCATGCAGTATCGAAATCGAGTGTTTACCAAGGAGGACAGCAAGTCGCAACAGCAGCGAAACCACAATTTGTCGAATGACGTCAACAATCGTCAACTATGATGTCGTTTCTAGTGTGACGTCATTCCGACCTCACGTCACAATAAGATTCGAATGACGTCAACAATGCCGACCAGAGGAGGGAAACAATACACTGTTGTCTTGTGACGTGACATGACTCTAGGGCACATATAGAGAATACTACACTCATTTCGCTCGGTCAGATACCATTCCACTCGTTTCTTAAAAATGGTATCCAACGAGAATGAGAGTGGTATTTTATTTATTACCCACGCTAAATATATATTTAAGTGTAAAAACATAATAACTTACGTTCGTTGACAGACCAAACTGAAACCGGTAGCAAAATCTGGTTGCGCATGACTATTGACAGGTGTATGCCCAAATATGGACATTGTTGGCATTTCTATGCATACGCATTAACAACATGCTCTTGTTTGGAAACATAACAGCACCGTCGCTCAAGATCCTTTTGGAAGAACTTCTTCAATTTATGGATATTCAAGCGCATCGTTGTTAGTACGCAGAACAACTATAAGAAGATTTTGAAAGTCACATTAGCGCCGCGCTTTGAATATCGGACAAACGGTCGGTTGCTCGCACTGCCTGGGTCCCGGCTATGCAATCAAAATGGTTCGGTTCTTCTTATATCATGTCCGTACCATTTTGGAAGAGGGAAATCAGAGTGTTCGACAAAAACGTTCATGATAACTGTACCATCCTATGCTGAAGACGTGAAAATCAACAAACTCAAGTCTGTTTGCATGTCAGTGACAGCTTCGAACGAAGGGCAAGGTCACCACCGGAATAAGAAAAGACAACCGTGATCTACTCACAGCGTTTTACGCTAGAGATAGGGATTGTTATTGTTCACATTTGGGATGTTTCGGATCACATAATCAGAAGTCAGGCACACTTCTATGGAGTTTTCGAATGATTTGTATCGGAAATGTTCACCTTTAGTGCAGTCATGTATATTCATTCATGAACAAACTCCTCCGGAATCAATGTCACGAAATACGCTGCGAATGGAGATACTGGTGGCACAACATGAGCATCGAACGTAAGTCTAGATATCTGTCCAGATAGTTTAAAATGACTTCATTTCACCACGCTTAACCTTTTACGTTAAATCAAATTGAAAGTCGCGAAAGTGGTCGGCTGCGTCACGCTAATTGGGACCCTCTATCCATCGGTAGACATTGCATATGGATATGCATGGCACGATTTTATAATGTCTGCAATAGCTCTATGCATAACTGACCCGTGAATATTTCCGGGGAAGAATAGATCTTAAAAAGTGACCACGCTTGTCGTAAAAGGCGACTAACGGGATTGGGTGGTCAGGCTCGCTGACTTGGTTGATGCATGTCATCGATCCCAATTGCGTGGATCGATGGTCATGATATTAATCACTGGTCTGGTCCAGACTCGATTATTTACGGACCGCCGGCATATAGCTGGAATATTGCTGAGTGCGGCGTTAAACAACAAACCAACCAACAAACCAACTATGCATAACTAATATAATGGGCATAGCGAACATAATGCGCGTGACGATCTTCTTTGGTTTAATAAAGTGTGTGCTTTCATGAGATTCCTTTAGTTCTGCTTTGTAGTTGAGAAAGCGAATAACGTCTCGCGATATTTTTTATGAATGAAAACAGAAGTTCTGGTGTGACAGAGGTCACGGTTATCCAATCAAGACGAATAAAACGATGTCAACCTTGTACAACACACGTGTGACGTACGGATTTAGTATCTTACCTACTGTATCTTCACAACGTGGGTAATAAATTATTTTTATGAACCCTGATATGTTTGTCATCGTAGGTAATAAAAACACTAAGGGTGATTCAGTACGCAAAGAAGCAAAACTCCATACGAATGACCATTACAGTGACCTAAACTTTAAATGACGGTTGCCTTACTAATTAAATGCCTAATCCTAAGAATATGTACCAAATTTCATCTTACCTTCAGTATTTGACACAAGTATGTCAAAATTAATCCAAATTATTGTCCAGCAAATACTAGTATCATGTCCCTACGTGGAATTCAGCGTAACATTGAAAAAGCACGTTCCACATTAACAGTAGACAAGGTCCCTACCTCTGATGTCATTATTTCATCTTGTCATACATAGGAAATATATTCGGGTCATTCATAAATACATGCTCATGATATAGTCGGAATGGTAATCATTTCTGCTTTTGGCAGATATTTCTTATGTTTTAATCGAGTGGACCAGACAATCCAGTGATTGACATCATGATCATCGATCTACGCAGTTGGGATACAATAACATGTTAGCGAGCTTTACCACCCGAGTCCGTTAGTCGCTTTTACGACAAGCATAGTCACCTTTTACGGCAAGCATTGGTTGCTGAAGACCTATTCTACCCCGGATCTTCACGGGTCGATATTATATATGAATATGGGTGGAAAGGATGTTCTTGCTTTTAATCAAGAACGATGGTGGTTGGGTTACTTCCATTTTTTAATGCAGCATTGGAACACCTTCCTAGTTCATTCATACAACAAATGAAGATGTACAGACATATATCATTGAGTACTGAAGAGTTGTAATATAAACTAATCTAAGAAGAAGATAAAGAACCCCCTATATTTCGTATGACTATAGCTAATCTGTCCTTGGCTGGATGATGTTGCAACACACAGCATTTCAATTGTGTTTTTTGTAACTTGCTTTACTTTGTCATTGAATATCATATCATATATACTTACTCGTCATAGTTGCCCCACAATAAGAACAAGGATGTGATCAGAAGGACAATAAGTAGATATATCTGACGTTTTGTACTGTACATCTGAAACAAAATGAAAATGTAAAAGTCATGACAGATATGTTTTATGAGCATTTCAAAATAGAGAAAGCAAAAGATCCTCATGTGATTGGGTATGACCATATTTAATGAACTAAACTCTTCTGTGTTTGCTATGATAAGTGAATATGATTTGTTCTTGCATAGTTTTTCATTATGTTGTTGATTGTGTTTGTTTTTTCACCATACCCTGAAAGGCGGTGTCAAAGCAAACTTTCTCACTTTCTCATTACAGGGTGCCGTCGCACAGCTGGAGTGTAACCTGAAGCAAACATCAACATGGCAGTTAAATAAACCTCCTTTGATAGCAGAAGAAGCATGGACTTTGCATGCTAGTACTTGCATAGAAAATCTCAACAATTTCTGTTTAAGTTTAATTTACAAAGTGTCATAGATCGAAAGGTCGAAACGCTTGATATCAATTTAACGTAAAACAACATTCACCAATAATCATATAAGGGAGCTTTAAGATTCACATTTACGGAATATTTCCAAAATATATTCAGCGGCTAAATGCCCGTTTCCTTAAGGACGCTACTTTAAATTGACAGCCTACTTGAGGTTCTCTTCGAGTAGACGACGCAACGGCACGGAGTACATATGTTCACGCACAGGTTACGCCACACCATATACCCCACGGGATCGGTTGGCAACGAATTTATCTCACCGACATCCTTTCAAGCAGGTCCGCAATATATGCCCGCAGTTTCGCTGAGTTAGCAAAACTCATAGCAGACGACGCAAACGAATCGAGTTACTTGTATAAACATCGGTTCATTTCAACTCAACGATACTTGTTCGAGATATGCAAGTTGCCGTCATTGTGTTCCAATTGATTTCTCGTCGGGCTACATGAGCAGGCTACATGAAAAATAATTTCCCGCTCGTTAACCAATCAGAAGCTAGTATTTTCGTGTGAGGCGAAATAAAGGAACAGTCAATATCATACAGCTGGGTTGATCGTGAGTAAAAGTGAGTGCAATGTCACGTGCGCTGAGCAGCTGATTAAATATCGCGTAAATTTGTTGTTATTTGAGCTGTTTCATAAAATGGTCACCTGCAATTAGTTGTGTGTTTAGCACTTAATAACTACTGCGGTGAGTTAGTTAATGCAGAGGGCATGACATGGTTATAAAATTACCAAATGCCAATAAATGTATGCAGAGTTGGTTAGATTTCGTCTTCATCATATCAATCATCAAATTCTATAGCATCAGATCTTTCAGCTCGCCTTCGCCATGGAACCATGACATCTATATGCCTTGAAACACTTAATTGCTGTTATTCATAAGATGCTAATCCTAATTGTTAATCCCCATTTTTGTGTACATCGACCGTCTGCCATCCTGCTGATGAATTACTGTTTACATTTATATTTATTACTCACTAAATGTCAGGTGACCTTGGCTATATAAGCTTTGGTCCAGGAAGGAAAGAAAAAAAGAAGAAAGAAAGGTCTTACCCTTAGCTTAGCTAGGGTTAGGCTGGGTGCTCATAACTCCCCGTACAAAGCTTCACTTGTTGGTCACACGATGGAGTTGAAGTAAATGGATTTCTGAAAGACCTCCGAAATTGTCCCTCACTAGTTAATATTTATGCGAATCCCATTTGAAGAAGGAGCCCCCATTTGAAATGATAAACTGTTCAATAACACCTAAGGGACAAGTGCACAAAAACACTCAACGCTGTCTGTATGCTGATTCCATAAGAACATTATATATACTAGGTTACCTGTAGATTTAACCGCGCTAAATTGAATTGGGAACCGAACGCGCAGCATATACATATTTGTATAATACCAAGAGACCTACCATGTTTTGTTCCCACTATAGAGCAAGACCATGTAACATATATGCATAATAGGCCTACCATTTTATGGTTACACTGTAGAACATGAAATATTTATGCATGATGAGCTTACCATGTTGTGTTTACATTATAGAACATGATCATGAAACATGTTTGCATAATAGGTCTACCAGGTTTCTGTCTACGTTATATGGCATGACCATAAAACCTATATGCATAATAGGCCTACCAAGTTTTCTGTTTATATTACATGCCTTGACCATAAAACCTATATGCATAATAGGCCTACCATGTTTTCTGTTTATATTACATGCCATGACCATAAAACTTTTATGCATAATAGGCCTACTAAGTGTTTGTTTACACTATAGACTACAATGAAGAAACATATATGCATAATAATCCTACCAGGTCTTTGTTTACAATATATGGCATGATCAAAAACCTATATGCATAAGAGGCCTACCAAGTTTATTTTTATATTTTATGCCATGACCATAAACCTTATATGAATAATAGGCCTACCAGTTTTTGTTTATATTACATGCCATGACCATAAAACCTATATGCATAATAGGCCTACTAAGTGTTTGTTTACACTATAGACTACAATCAAGAAACATATATGCATAATAGACCTACCAAGTCTTCTGTTTCTATTACATGCCATGACCATAAAATCTATATGCAAAATAGGCCTACCAGGTTTTTGCTTACACTATAGACTACAATGAAAAAACATAAATGCATAATAGTCCTACTAGGTTTTTGTTTACATTATATGGGATGACCACATAACCTATATGCATAAGTGGCCTACCAAGTTTTTGTTTACACTTAATGCTACAATCAAGAGACACATATGCATAATATGTCTACAACGTTTTCGGTTTATAGACCATGGCCATGAAACATATATGCATAATAGGCCTACCAAGTTTTGCTTACATGATAGACCATGACCATAAACATATTAGCATCATAGGCCTGCATTATGCTCTGTTGACATTACATATCATGACCATAGAACGCATACACAACGCAGGACAACCAAGTATTGTTTAAATTACAAACTATGGCCAAGAAACAAATATGCCTATTTGCCCTGCCATGTTATGCATAAGAAACCTACAAAATCTTGTTTACATTATATGCCTGAACCATGAAACATATATGCACAATTGGCCTACCAAGTTTTCTTGTTTAAACTATAGATTATGGCCAAAACACATGTATTCTTATTTGCCCTACCTTGTTTTGTTAAACATTATAGACTATCGACATGAAAACCATCTCCATGTTTGCCCTGCCATGTTTTATTTTTATTATTGATTAGCCGTGATAAAGCTGGAATATTGCTAATCTCGGTGTAAAAACATACTCATGAATATCATGATGTACGCGTTCCTGCAATATTTAGCGTGTTGTATGTTGTACAAAGAGGTATGGAAACATTGAAATATTATGTGTACATCTCACTGCAAACACATTGTTCAAGTCATTTATTGATATCTAAATGCAAACTATATGCTACCACACTAGTATATGTTTCAATGCACTTAGCACATGTTGAAGTAAATTAAACAGAAATAATATAAATGTGTCACCTCCAATAAGTAATAGCCACCTCAACAAGAATCCCACCAATCCACACATCCAAATAGTATAAACACAACATGCTCCATAAAAATAGATATTCTTCCCACAGCATAGTTATCAATACACAATATATGCATAAATTGCAATAGAATAGATGCTCTTCAGCTTACAACAGTAAATTGATTTCCACACATCATTAAAGGTGGTGAAATGGGGTTTAACGTCGCGTCCAAGTTTATTGCACTTATATAGCGACGTGCATGTACGTGTGTGTGTTTGTGTGGCTGCTTGTACTAGTCCGGACTGATGCCGATTTATAGTGCTAGCTCACTGAGATACCATTCCGCAGTTTAACATAAATACCCCACTCAGACACAGTATACTGACTCCAAGCCGACCAGTCCTTGTTCAAGCACTTTCATGCCGAGCGCCAGACAGGGTAACAACAAGTACCATCTTTTAACGTCTTTTGGTATGACGCGGCCTGGGATCGAACCCCGGACCTTCCGCTCTCCGGGCGGACGCTCTACCACAAGACCACGGAGGCGGTCCACACATCATTAAAAACTGTACATATAACACATGAACAACATACACATGGCATGGAAACTCCACACACGAAACATCCTAAACATACAATACAACTCTCCTATAGAACCAAAATATATGAAACATATTAATTAAAAATATACACAAATAATATGAATAATTGCATGTAATTTAATACCAAAGCATGGTACTTGGGGATAATATTGTATTAAATGTTGCTTACATTTCTACTGTAAAAATCCTTTTATTGCAACATGCATGCAAAACACCATGACTTACACAGATATTAATATGAATAGCAGACCTGCTTATATTGAAAAAACATAGGCTAAACATAATGCTTTAACAACATAAACAATCTAAGATATCAAATTCACTTTAATCACATTATTATTCATAATTATTGTCCCTTACAATTGGCAAGACCAATGTATGGAAGTATGCATAGAAATGTTTATGTATGTAATAGGTGTGTGTGTGTGTGTGTGTGTGTGTGTGTGTGTGTGTGTGTGTGTGTGTGTGTGAAGGCATATTTTTTATATGTATATGCCAAGAGGTAAGCTAACCTAGATCTGAGACGCACGTGCCGTACCTTTTCCTCTGGATCTGTATTCGTGCGGATCTGATCACTCCACTCTCACTGAGCCTGCACTTAACTATAACAACTACGCCGCCTGTTTCCCAGTGTCCAACAGAACTGTCAAAGACTCTGGAAAAACTCCAACTCAGCACCATGGTAGATCATATTAACTTGTGATTAAACGTTTTTTTTGTGTCCTATCTGCTTCTTACTTTCCTGTTCTTTCATTCCTTTCTTGTTACAGAATATACCGTGTACACAACATACTCTTATATATCGAGTTCACATGCAAAATTATGACATTGCAAGATCAGATAATGGTTGACAATATAAAAATAATCAGCACAAACTGCCAAGGCCTGAACAACAACAAAAAATGTATAGATGTGTTTCAAAATTTTAAAAAGCAAATATATATTGCCTGCAGGACACGCATTTCACTAAGAAC